CAATTTTTAAATGTGGCTTGCACTCTTATAAACAGATATCATCCTACGATTCATTGTGAAAATAATACTCCCGAGCGAGCAGAGCAAATGCTAGCAAGAGCTCGACAGCCAAACCCGAGTAAAAAATAGAAAATGAACGCTTATTTAGACGCCCTGCTAACTGGCAAGCAATGGAACATGAGGAAATTGCTGATTTTCCTGTTCTTACTTTGGACTTTTTGAGTAACCTTACTTTTGGCACTTTTCAAATTACTGTGGGTCCATCCTATGTTCACGATAACGCCCAGGAGTTGGGAGATTTAAACTTCGAAATAAAACGCCTAAATATCCAACATTTTTTGAGAATTAGAATAAACTTCCGTCATCGCAACACTACCAAGTACCTACCAGCTGGCCATAAATATGATCAAGATCCAAATATTCAGATATCTGGATATTATTGCACGTGTCGTTCTAGGGCCAGAACGGTTGGTACCTGTTGTCACGTGGCTAGTGTACTATGGTTTTTAGGATATGCCAGACACCAACAACACATTAGTTATCCACAAGATAATATTTTGAATGCAATAAATGATGCTGCTGAGAGGAACATGCTGCCCCAAATAATTTAATTACAAAATTAAGAATAGGTTTGAGTACGACAACACCCTGTATAATATTTTTTAAAACATGCTCTCAGGGCAGTTAACATTATGAAGGTTTATTGTTGTGTTTAACATTATTTTTTGATTTCGAGATTTCATTGAAATATAAAATTACTTTAACACCCTGTATTGAAATATTTGAGTTTAGATACATTGCTTGCTAAAATACATACCTACAAAATGACCCCAAAAACGTGAAAATTCCATTAGAGGTTTTCGAAATGTTCAAGAAAATCTACGTAGGGATATTTCCAGTAGAAATATAACTAGTGCATAAAATATTTCCGGAAATTTTTGAAAATTTTGTCTGAAGCCAATTTTTTGACAAAATCATGAGTGCATAGCGCCTGAAAAAATCCCGAACCCGAAGGGTGAGGGATTTTTTCTTTGGCGCTATGCACGAATGGTTTTGTTTAAAAAAATTGACTAAAGACCAAATTTTTAAAAATTTCCCTTAGGAAATATTTTATGCACGTGTTATATTTTGATAGGAAATTTCCCGAGTTTGAAGTTTATTTATTATAAGTTGTGGCGAATATTTTAATTATGATGATGTGTTCTGTGATGGTGATTGTTATTGATATTTCCCATTTAAATTGCGTTTGTCAAAAAATATACACTTTGTCAGATTTCTGACATCAATGCATTTTAAATGGAAAAGCTGGTCTCAATGCCAAAAATGACAACCTAATGGTGGGTTTCCGACAGACGCCGCGCGGCATTGTCGCATTGGAAATTGCACCCGGAAATATCCCTCTCACCAGGGATATTTCCACTTGTCAATTTTTGAAAATTACGAGGTAAATTTCCAGTTAAATATGCACAAGGGAAATTTCCAGTAGTAATATAACTAGTGCATAAAATATTTCCGGAAATTTTTGAAAATTTTGTCTGAAGCCAATTTTTTAACAAAATCATGAGTGCACAGCGCCTGAAAAAATCCCGAACCCGAAGGGTGAGGGATTTTTTCTTTGGCGCTATGCACGAATGGTTTTGTTCGAAAAAATTGACCAAAGACGAAATTTTTTAAAATATCCCTCAGGAAATATTTTATGCACGTGTTACATTTTGATAGGAAATTTCCCGAGTTTAAAGTTTATTTACTACGTTATGTCGAATTTTTTTATTGATACTGATTGTTATTGATCTTTCCCATTTAAATTGCGTTTGTCAAAAATATAGACTTTGACAGATTTCTGACATCAATGCGTTTTAAATGGAAAAGCGGGTATCAATGTCAAAAATGACAATTCTGGAAATTTTTCCCGGGATATTTCCAAAAATTTCCACTTATTAATTTTGACAATTTGTATGCAAAATTTCCAGTGTAATTTGCACAAGGGAAATTTCCTCGGAAATTTCCCTTGTGCATATTTAACTGGAAATTTACCTCGTAATTTTCAAAAATTGACAAGTGGAAATATCCCTGGTGAGAGGGATATTTCCGGGTGCAATTTCCAATGCGACAATGCCGCGCGGCGTCTGTCGGAAACCCACCATTAGGTTGTCATTTTTGGCATTGAGACCAGCTTTTCCATTTAAAATGCATTGATGTCAGAAATCTGTCAAAGTGTATATTTTTTGACAAACGCAATTTAAATGGGAAAGATCCATAACAATCACCATCACAGAACACATCACCATAATTAAAATATTCGAAACAACTTATAGTAAATAAACTTCAAACTCGGGAAATTTCCTATCAAAATATAACACGTGCATAAAATATTTCCTAAGGGAAATTTTTTAAAATTTCGTCTTTAGCCAATTTTTTTAAACAAAACCATTCGTGCATAGCGCCGAAGAAAAAATCCCTCACCCTTCGGGTTCGGGATTTTTTCAGGCGCTATGCACTTATGATTTTGTTAAAAAATTGGCTTCAGACCAAATTTTCAAAAATTTCCGGAAATATTTTATGCACTAGTTATATTTGTACTGGAAATTGAGAAGTAACCGGAAAATTCATCAATTTGAAATTCGGCTTTGTTAAGAGTGTTTTGCTTTCCGTGTTATTCGCGATTTTTGTGTACTTGACTGTTTTATCGTTTATATATTGTGTATTATCATGGTTGCTTCCTGTTTTGTCTGTGAAAACAACACTAGAACTAGCCCAGGCTTAGGATATTTTAGTTTCCCGAACGACTGTAAGTATTTATATTTACATATTTCATATTAGGTTTACTCTCCCACATAACAAAATTGCATCCTTAGAATGTATTAAGAATGTTCTTTTTTTAGGAGGAATGTGCCTAGAATGTTCGCCAAAACCATTGCGAATGTCCTGAGAATGTTCTGAGAAAAGATTGTAGAAATACTGTTTGCAATACCCAAGAACTTCCTGGGAAATCCAATAGGATATTCCTAGAATATACCTATGAGATTCTCAGTACGTCCTTAAAAGAATATTCCTGTTTGATTCCAAAAATATGCTCGAAACGTACCTATATTCTCACATTCAAAGAATGTTTCTATGACATAGTTATATTCTCAAAAGAATATTATACCAATATGCTTGAAATATTCTTAGATTATATCTACATATATCATTCTCAATATGCATCCTAGACATAACATTCTTGTTTGATTCTAAGGATATACTTGGAATGTTTATTTTCGCTTCCAAATAATGCTCGTTTCGGCCCTTTTATATTAAAGGCAGTGAAAGAGTTGTTGGAAAACTTCTCTAGAAAACACGAGTATTTAACCAAAGCTCCGGTTTCGAGCTTGTTATGCTCTCGTCGAAGCACGCCAACTGAGAGAAACAGGTTCCAAGGTGATTCAAATGCGAGGCAAGATGTAGATCTTCAATAGCGCGTCGCTCCCTCTCTTGGAAGTCATACAAAGCAAAAGGAAAAGAATATACCTATAATATTCTTAGTAGGTTCTAAATAGAGCATTATTGTTTAATTGTACAATTAAGATTTTTGAGTAGGTACTTTAGATAATTAGGTGAACAATATGAAAATATTCTTATCATGGTTACCTACCTACATAAACTTCTCAGCACAACTAGGTAGGCATATTCTTAATACTTGATAGAGATATTAGCTTAAAGAACATTTTTTAGGGTACATTATAATAATGTTCGTATGAGAATATTCAAATAATGTTATATAAAGTAGGTCCTTAGCACAATCTTTCAGGTAGGTGCATAGAAGCAACATTCCTAGTACATAAATAGAACGTTCAAAAATGAATATTTCAATCGAAACAATCTTAGAATATTCATTGAACATTCCTAAAAGAACATTCCAAACAGTACTTTGAGGGAATATCCTGAGAATATGAATGTTCTTTTACTGTTATGTGGGCTATACATTCACATAATCTTGATCTGATGAAATAATTGTCCACAAATTATAATATGATCCCGTTATATTCTCAATGTTAATCCACAAAAAATCCTAGTCCGACTCTGTCCACGGCCCAGAATTCGTTGTTTCCGATCAATAATGCGCAAGCGCGAAATATAGGGACATAGAATTTGACTTCAAAAAAATTAATGGTTTGTCAACGGAGTTGAACAACTGTATCGGTACGGTATAAACTGTGGTACCGTTTATATCGGGTCTTCAAAAAAAAAAAAACAATCAAAGATTGCTATGGTTTTTTAAACGTATGTCTTAGAAATATGTCTCTAATGTCAAAAGGTGATGTCAAAAATCATGACCAATAAAGAAACAATAATGCGACGTACGTTTTCGGTCTATGGTTTTCGTAATCAAAGTAATCTTCGATTGTTTTTTTTTTTGAAGACCCGATATATTGCACTATTAAAAAATATATTGACTAATGTGTCAAATTTGATTGGCCAGATACCAGATAGGCAAAGAGGAAGATGCCAGATGGCCAGATAGGCCAGAGAATTTTAATACTGCGACATTTTCGAAATTATGTGAAACACACTTAAAACTGCGAGGGTCAACCTGCCAAATTTCCATGGATAATGCTACCTAGAATGCTACGACGCCAATAATATCTGAAAGGCAAATATTTTAAATTTGTTTATACTGGTAGCGACATCTATGTGTAAAGAGTGGTTATATATAGAAATCCTTGAAAAAGAAAACTGCACTAATGGCCGTTTCCACCAACTATTTTAGTGGAGCCCTAACAGTAAGTATTCCCTAAACTGACATTTCTCCATGGAAAATTGTCAGTTTAGAGAATACTTATCGTTAAGGCTTCCCTAAAATAGATGGAAACGGCCATTAACAGCGAATATCCTCAGCAGATTTATTTTCGATTTCCACAGTTGAAAGAAGAGTTTATTTGGTTGCCTATGCGTAGACGGCCATATGGCAACTTTACATTGTCAATGTCAAGAAGTGACATTTATTATGATCTTTTTTTTTTAAATTGTTGTGTTTACAATGTTGCTTTGCGCATGTTTGTTATTAAATTAGCACCTCTATCATAAACATAAAATCCGTTTTATTTTGTTATAACGAAAATGATCCAACGAATTTACCATTAAATTTAACGTTCAACTCATCGAGTATCACAGTGTTTGTATTAACAGCATTCGGGGTGGGTTATTTAACACAATAAACCGCCATCAAAACACAGGCCCATTAAAAAATCCGAAATTTAGCATGGCGGATGAGCACAGCAGCGAAGAATCGGATAACGAGAATCAGACGGAATTTGCTGGCGTTCTGAGCAAATGGACGAATTATATACATGGCTGGCAGGATCGGTATATTGTGCTGAAGCATGGCACTTTATCTTATTACAAGAGTGAGCACGAGAGGGGTTTTGGTTGCAGAGGGGCTCTGTCGCTTGCCAAAGCTGTTCTCAAGGTGTGTAGGTATTTATTAGGGGTGTTTAGTCATAAACTTTAATTGGAAATCGCTTATCAGTTTAGCCACAGGTTTAGCCTACATAAAAGTAGTTTGCATTGATAATGATACTATTATCCTCGCTATTATCTCAATTACGCTATCTACTATAAAGGTCGAACTGGGTCTCGAACTGGGTGCTGTACTATAATTCAATTTTGTAATATCTGAAGACACTAAAAACTGGTCATCTATTATAAAATATACTATACTTGTACTCAAAGATATTTCTTTATATTTAATGTATTTATTTACCTCATTTTAAAAGGTTATTCATTAACAACAAGGGGTTTTTCACCTTGTTAATCGGTGTACAAATCACTGGTTTAATATATGTCAATACCAGGTAAATACTATGTCAATAGTGTCAATACTATGCAACACACACTTGTTAATTATGTAGGTGATATACGTCAATACTTGTAATTATCTAGACAATATTATGTTAATGTCATTGGTTGATACCCATTAATAACATGTGGATAGGTCAATACCTAAAATTCTAGCAAGACAAATATTTCATTTTAGTCTGTCAATAGCATGGCAATACCTGGTAATATGTGATAATACTAGGGAAATACCTGGCAATATGTGGAAATATGTTGGTAGTACATGGAAATAGTTGGCAACTCGGTTGGCAATAACTTGTTATTAGGTACATAGAAATATCTGTCAATACATGGAAATATCTCAGTTAGTACTGTTAATCGGTGTACAAATTTTGTTAGGTGAAAAACCCCTCATTTTCAACTTTTTCTTCAGGGTTTATTGTATCTTTTCCACAGATTTTGAGAATAATTGCATTCATTAGCAATACAGTCTAGTCTGAAGCAGTGTTTTGATCAGCAATTACTTAAAAATATGTAGGCCAAAAAATACATTCAGTTTTATAGATGTTATTATTCCAAAAAGACTTAAATGTCATCATTGAATTATTATAGATATCGCCCTAGTCTTTTCAATAGTTTGTGCCTTCAATTTATCTAGATAGTCAATAGAAATGTGTTTAAACTAAATCCAAATTTTTCAACAACAGTTTTTTTTTTCAGCCTCATGAATTTGACGAATGCAGATTTGATGTTGCAGTTAACGATTGCGTTTGGTATCTTCGGGCGGATACAGTGGAACTAAAACAAAGCTGGTTGGAAGCATTAGAAGCATTTAGGGTAAGTAAATAGTATTTTTCCAGAAACCGAGTTTTCTTGTAGCTAATTTTCCTGCTTTGCCTGCCTACCCTTCATTATCTACTGAAATAAAGTCTAGCAATATTTCAAATTTTGAATTATTTGTTTTTATCTACCTTATTTTGAAAAGTATTATGACTGTAGCTTATTTAAATCTACACCGACATAATTTAAAAAAAGGGCTTGTTTCAATTTGGTGAAAACCTGAGTGAAAACCTATATGCTTTTCACTTATTATTGGTGTAGCATTATCCATTGAAATTTGACAGGTTGACCCTCGTATAATAATGACATTTGATGACAAAATATTTTTCAAATTTTAGGGTTATGAAACAGAAAGCCGAGTTGCCAGAATGTGTAAAATATCTGTATAAATTCAAATAGTAAAATTATTCAATTTATTAATTAAACGTAACCATAACAGTAAGCTCAATAGATATGTTTTTGCAGTAACTTTTTTTTTCGGGTTTGATCCAACGGCATGTCTTCTATTTTTATTTTTTTATTTCTTCTTCTTCTGGACGTGCCTATCCCTTATGAATGTCGGCGATCATCGATTATTATGGCGATGTCCACTTAATTCGCAGCAATATGGAAGAGTTGTGGCGAGCTTTTATCAAACAATGTTCTGAGATTTTTCCGTCACAATATTCTTCATATACTCTCATTATTATACGAGGGTCAACCTGCCAAATTTCCATGGATAATGCTACGCCAATAATAAGTGAAAAGCATATAAAAAAGAAATTTCAAAAATACATACTTAATTTGTGTAAAATAAAAGTTTCCACTTTCAGATTGAGTCGGGTTATGGTACTGGTTCTGAAAACAGCTTAAAGAGACATGACTCTTCGGTTAGCTTACAATCAAATAACCACAGCACAGCTTCTGGGGGTAGTTTTAAGAGAGGTTCGAGGACGTTACGCGAAAAGCTAGCTGAAATCGAGACTTACAAAGACATTTTGAATCAACAGATTGACACTTTACAAAAATATTTCGATTCTTGTGTGGACAATGTTTCCAAAAAGGAATCATCAAACAAAGGTAAAAAAACTTAGTTGCTACAACTATAGTAATTTTAATGATTTATTTTTTTTCATATAGAAAACTTGCCTGTTATCGACTTCAAAGGTGAAGCGATAACGTTTAAAACTACCACAGAAGCGGTAATTGATACTTTATCGCATTGCGCTGAATTGGTGGCACAAAGAGAAGAATCTTGGAGGAAAAGATTAGACAGGGAGAAGGAGAGGAGGAGGCACAGCGAGATATTGTCTCAGAAATATTTTCAACAAATGCAGAAATCTAGGAATGCACATCCGGGACCAGACATGGAGGTAAGTGGAAATTTTGGTAATTTATTTTTGGAGAGGTAATGGCAAAATCGAGGGCAAAATGGCAATATTTAGATTAGAAGGTTTACCTTGGAGGATCAGAAATAAAGCAGTCTGAAAACTAATATCAGCCTATAGGCAATTAGGCCAAGCAATGAAGGAAGTTTACCTCAACATAATTAAAAGTTAACATTTTTTGGGGGGGATCGGTTCATTTTCATGTGCTTAATAACATATTAAGTTTGCGACCTTGTACTTCCATAGGGTTTTTAGTTAGGGGTGGTTTTTAGGGGTAATTTGCGGTTTATGGAGAACGCTGCTCAAAGGGATGGTCCAATAGCAAAAAGTTTCAAATGAATGTTGTAGCTGAAGTTTTTTGCTATAAAAACTCAGCGACAGCACCCCTTTATCTTCTATAGTTTTTTTCTGCAGCGTCTTGAATAGTAGCATGTTTTTGTTCAAGGTTACTGAATCAACGTTTTGCCATTTTGCGCGCATTTGTTGCAGCAGCGGCCGAATGCATAATCCGATTTCAATTTTTCAAACACCACATTATTGCTAATGAAATGCACTCTCCAATGCTTTTTTGTTCGAATTTTTTGCTTGAAAATTAAGCGAGCACGGACTTGTCTAATGTGCGAGGAAGTTGTAAATTGCATCGAAAACTACCCCTTTCTTGCATTCACTGTAATTTCTAAACGGGGCCAAATATTTGGTGACAGTTTTCGACAATCGGCAGCCCATTTATTCCTCTCATAATGCCCCAGCGGATTTTTTTTTTCGTTAATTACTTAATGACTTATTGGCCTGAAAACGTCGCGCGGGATTTTTCAAAAAGTAAAAAAAAATTAAAATTGTCGCATGGCCCTGAAATTTGGTACGATGGCTTTATTTATTGTTCTCATGAATATACTGCAATTTTATATCATGTGAAGCAATTAAAATTGCAGTATATTCGTAAGAACAATAAATAAGGCCATCGTACCAAATTTCAGCGCTATGCGACAATTTTAATTTTTTTTTACTTTTTGAAAAATCCCGCGCGACGTTTTCAGGCCAATAAGTCATTAGGTAATTAACGAAAAAAAAAATCCGCTCGGGCATTATGAGAGGAATAAATGGGCTGCCGATTGTTGAAAACTGTAACCAAATATTTGGTCCCGTTAAGAAATTACAGTGAATGCAAGAAAGGGGTAGTTTTTGATGCAATTCACAACTTCCTCGCACATTGGACAAGTCCGTGCTCGCTTAATTTTCAAGCAAAAAATTCGAACAAAAAAGCATTGGAGAGTGCATTTCATTAGCAATAATGTGGTGTTTGAAAAATTGAAATCGGATTATGCATTCGGTCGCTGCTGCAACAAATGCGCGCAAAATGGCAAAACGTTGATTCAGTAACCTTGAACACAAACATGCTACTATTCAAGACGCTGCAGAAAAAAAACTATAGAAGATAAAGGGGTGCTGTCGCTGAGTTTTTTATAGCAAAAAACTTCAGCTACAACATTCATTTGAAACTTTTTTCTATTGAACCATCCCTTTGAGCAGCGTTCTCCATAAACCGCAAATTACCCCTAAAAACCACCCCTAACTGAAAACCCTATGGAAGTACAAGGTCGCAAACTTAATATGTTGTTTAGCATATTAAAATGGACCGATCCCCCCAAAAAAAATTTAACTTCTAATTATGTTGAGGTAAACCCTCTTTTCAGATCCCCGTTTCTTGGACTACCAGCTCTGCATATTCTATAAAAACCTTGGTTATGATTTTATGTCAATGTTCTGTTACGCCCATTTGTATAAACTTCAAAATATTAGATATTAAAAAAAAGTTTGAAGATGTTTTTTTTATGCTTGTATGTTTGTGCATATTTTACTATCATGATCAAGAAATTATTATGCTCAAAATGGCGGTGGCTGTCGTTGATGGTTGAATTAAGGATAAGCAAACTACTCCTTTGAATTCTGCCCTCGATAAAAATTATAATATGAACAGGTAAGTTTGGATACAATTCGGGATAAGCTCCAAAAATAATGACATTTTTACCAAACTATTTACAAACATTTATGGTTTACTTGTCAAAATTTTTAGTGATATTTTTTTGGCCTCTATTATTTATTTTGTTTAAATATTAAATTATTAACAAAGTTTAAAAGTATCCAACAATGATGTGTTACTCAAAAAAGTTTTCGCTGAATGAGCACGGATATTATGGAAAGGTAAGCAAATTTTTCTCATACTAATATTAAGGGTCAAGAGGTAAAAACATGAAGACACTCTCTTTTGACTCGCTTTACCACACGAAGAGGTCAACAAATATTTTGTGTACAACTAGAAGCAGAAATGCTGATTCAGGATTCTGATGATGGCTCTTAAGGAAGCTTGGTCAAAAAGTTTTCCTGATTTGCTTTAAAATTAGTTGGTAAATCCTTACAGAGTGCTGTTGAGAAAAGTTAATCCGCGATAACCACCTTGTATTGTTTTGTGGCTTGTTTTCAATATAGGGATCGATCGATATATTATGCTTGTTGATTACTGTAATGTTTGAGCTACTTTAGGCTTACAGAGGTGTTGAAAAAAATATAGCACTGTTTTTTTAAGGAAGCTTGTTTTATTATATTTCAACGATTTAAAGATACATGTGTCTGGAGCAAAATCACATAACATAACATAACCATTAAATTATAAATTACAGTTTTCTTCTGTCAGCAGATATCCTTCAATTCTATGGAATATGGAATCGAAGTTTAACGCTGTGGTTTAACCAAAAACCATAGATTATTACAAAACCTAGACAAAACAGTTCCTCCCTAACTTTAGATTTGAAAATTTTTTCAAAGTACAAAAAAAAAAATATTTCTGAGAATTTCATACATCTGTCAAAACTGGTATTCCAACAATAAATGGACATGTTTTGATTGTTGATTTGAACCAATCAGATTGTAATTAGGCGATAATTTGCACTAGTGCAAATTATCAGATAATTGCATACTAACTGGTGCGAAAACTGGTGTTTTGACATTTTTTGACAAAAAATTTAAATTTTTGATTTATGAAATTCTCTCATTAAATACAACTCGTGCAATGGAAATATATTTATAATTTTCGACAAATTTGCACTCATGCGTTTTTAACTGAAAAAGGCACTCGTGCACTACGTGCACTCGTGCTCTTTTTCAACTAAAAAGGCATTCAGTCAAATTTCCCAAAAATTATCAATAATTTCCATTGCACTAGTTATATTACTATTGATTATTTTATTCATTATAAAATAGACCCATCAGACAACGTAATTTTTTGAATGAATTTCGTTTAAATAAGTGATTATTTCACAAGACCTTGTTTATGAGCGATTAAATTTTTGTTTACCTTTTTTGACAGAATTTTGATAGAAATATTCTGACATTTTATAATAAATAGAACTCTTTGGATAGGATTGACGCCAACAATTCAATCCTAATTATTCAGGAAATAATCTAGCCGTATACCACTCGACCGATAAATTTAAATGGATTAAACTATCCAAATATTTTTTGCATAATTTTGCTTTTTGGCAAATAGTTTCATGCACAATAACTTTTAAATAAAAAGTTATTGTGCATTCAACTATTTTCTAATAAAACTCATGTTCAAAATATGTTGGATAGTTTAATCGATTAAATTTAAAGCTCTTCTGATATAATATATGACTATTTCACTAGAGTGTTTTACACTGGCAAAATGTTATAGAAACGGCCGGTTTCCTATTGACAAAACTCCTACCTGTTCCTACCTGGACAAAACCAACATGATGGTTTTTCAGCGACAAAATTTTGTGTGGTTAAGGTAAAAAACTATTGAGTTTAACAAGTGTCACCTAAAAAAAATACATTTTCCAAATGAAAATTTGGCTTGTTTTTCTCGTGAAATAGTCCTGCCGAATACCCCTCAAGAAAAAATTATGTATGCAAAATTATTCTCTTGGTTTTATTCAAGTTTGTAGCTTTCTGGTAATTTCGCTCGCATGAAATTGTCATTCGCGAAATTGCCAAGCAACAAACTTTCATACCAGTCGAAAATTATGCCAACAAAATATTTTCTCTTGTGGTATTATACAGGGTGTTCGGCACATGAGTAGACATACGTGAATCTGAGATAGGTGGGGACATCTGCTATGCGGTCCACCCAGATATTTCAACCTGGGCCCTAAGAATTTTTTTTTAGAATTTTTTAATTTTTTTTTTTTCAAAAATTTCAATTTTCCTGGTTTTAAACTGATATAAATTTTTGAAAAATCATGAAACTGACAACATTTTTATTCTATTTTCATCTAGATTGATTCTAGAGTCATACAAAATTTATTAATTGGGGCCCATGACCCCTACAAAGAAAATTACGGGCCCTCAAACCACAAAAAGAGGTAAAAAATAATTCTAATAGACAACTTTGCATTGCATTTTAAAACAATACTAGGAATGAAAGAGTATTACTAATTAGTCAAAAACATCTCCAATTTATGCCCTTTCGAACGATATGCAATAACCACAATTTGCTTAAAAACAGCAAGAGTTATTTGGCAATTTTATCAATGGTGGGCATTTTTTACGAAAGTCTTCTTTTGAGGTAAGTCTCGAGGTAAGTGCATTTTTTACGTTGAAAACTTACAGGAGCTACTAAATAAAACACTATGATATTGATTTTATAATGTATTCATAAAAATTGTTCGAATTGCTGCCCTTCATTATTTATTGAAAATTTTCGAAAAAAAATTAAAAAAAAAAATTCTTAGGGCCCAGGTCAAAAAATCTGGGTGGACCGCATAGCAGATGGCCCCACCTATCTCAGATTTACGTATGTCTACTCATGTGCCGAACACCCTGTATATGAAAATACATTTTGAAAAAAATACTAGTCACTTAATGAATCAGAATAATTGGTATCATAGTCTTTCAAGTAGGATGGTCTTCTCAAAACTCTTGATGGACGCATGTTGTCGCAAACATCTGAGGGTTCAACGGCTTGAAATTCTTGAATGTCAGGGTTGCTCAAAATGTCCTTTTTGAAGTTATCACATTCAGTTGAGTCACTAACTGAAATATTGTCTGTATCTGTTGTAGGTGCTTCTGGTGCTGAGCTGAACGAGATATCGTCATCTGAGAGGACTTCTTGAGGTTCATGCATATCTGGATCTTCACTAGTAGGTGGTGTTACCGAACTTGCTTCAAGTATAGTAGCTTGCTCCTCTTTAGAACTAATCTTCCAGAATACTGTTTTCCGTGGGATGATAGGAATGCTAGGAAGAGTAAACGCATTTCGTTTGGGAGTGTTTGACGGATGTTTGAGGACTTGACTAGGAATACTAGGATTGAATATTTTGAAAAACGATGCATCTCTTTTGATATATTTTCCTTCTCTATCTGCCAAAACTTGAGTTCCATTAATTTGAGTTAGTTTGTGTATTCTTGTATGTCTCTGTTGATCTGCATATTCTTTTTGTTTTCTTATCAGTTTTGTTATGTCTTCATGTTGTTCTCTATGTCTTTCTTGCTGTGTGTCTATCGGTAATAAGTTGTTGATTTTTCTGTTGAAAACCAGGGCCGGTATTCTTGTTCTCAAAAACGCTCCCGCTTTCTAGTGGCTCGGCACTTTAAATGTAAATTTACATTGAAAGTGCCGAGCGGTGAGCGTTTTCGAAGACCAGAATACCAGCCCAGTTCAAATGGGAGTTTCTCTGTGGTGGAATGCTGGAGTACTTCTATAGTTTAACAAAAATTGATTGATTTACGAATCAAACTTGCTGGATTCCAACTGTGCACAAATTAAAGACTTTTTGAAGGACTTCACAAACCTCTCTACCATACCGTTCACGTCTGGCCATTATGGAGGGATTTTTATGTGTTTTATCCCAAAATCAGATAAAAATATTTCAAATTCACTACAAAAAAGAATTTATGGACTCCGGAATTCCAAATGTGGAAAATATTAGCTCAAGTATTGGTTTCAGATTGTGGAAGCTTGTAGAAGGAACAATTTCTGTTATCGGGTACCTTGAATGTTATGAAGACATATTTCTTGTTGTGGAAAGATCCAGCGAAATTTATGTCAAGTTGCTGAAGCGGTTGATCAGGTAATGCTGTTGATATTATAGGATCTCTGATCCTAGTGTTTGGAACGAACTGACACGCTGCAAAACTTTTTACTAATGTTTCTGTTAGCCTGTCAATATTTGAGAACCATATTTTTGAGCGAAGTAACTGCTTCGTCTTGACAATCTCTAAATGACCTTTATGTGCTAGTTGTATTGCAGGAGTTTGTAAGGATGCTGTTAAAATTATTCGAGTACCTCGTAGTATGATGTTATCTGTCATAGTAAGTTAATCTTTTATTTTGCAGAATGGTGATAATTCAGAATTTTTCCAGTTGTGTCTGTTATATTATGTTGTGTCAATGAGAAAACTGAGTACTTTATCATGTTTAGTAGCTTGTTGCACTTGTTCAATTGACATAGCTTTGAGTAATGAAGACTGTAGGATAAAATGTACATACAGAGTGAGTTTTACGTATGGAACGTCTCAATTTTCTCGAAAACGGCTTGCACGATTTTTATGAATTTTGGTGTGAACAAGCATTGCAATATGGCCGATAATATGGTAGTATTTGCAGGGTTGTCAGATCTCTCGTTTTTCGGAAAATATTTGAAACTTTATTTTTTCAAATGGATCACCCTGTATATTATGACATTTCTAGGTTCTGCGGAAAATTCTAGAGATATTTCATGTACAGGGTAGTCATTTTATCTTGATAACATTTGAAACTGTCTTAATTTCTTTATTTTTGAAGTCATTTAAATAAATAAAAAAACATACTGTAGGGTTGTTTTCCAAGTTTTAGATAGGGTGGACAAAAAACAAAAAACTAATATATTTTGACAGTTATGGACACAAATAGAATTTTTTTAAATGGAACACCCGGTAAATTTTTAATTTGTTCGATAATTTGTTTCATTCTGATTGCAATATATACAATACAATACAATTGAATACAATTCACTCTATATTTACATGCAGAAATGTTTTATTTATTCTAGATAAAAATATTGATTACCTACACAGATTACCTGCAAAGGTAGGTAGGTAGACAGAATTTCCCATTAGAATAAATAAAAAATTTCTGCATGTAAATATGAAGTAAATTGTATTCAACTGTATTGTATTGTATATATTGCAATCAGAATGAAACAAATTATCGAACAAACTAAAAATTTACCGGGAGTTCCATTTAAAAAAATTCTATTTGTGTGCATAACTGTCAAAATATATTAGTCTTTTGTTTTTTGTCCACCCTATCTAAAACTTGGAAAACAACCCTACAGTAAGTTTTTTTATTTATTTAAATAACTTCAAAAATAAAGAAATTATGACAGCTTCAAATGTTATCAAGATAAAATGACTACCCTGTACAATGTCATATACCTATCTTCGACTGTTTCGGAAATATTGACAGTTGAAAATTGACTTTTTTGCAACTTCGACAGGCTGTGAAATCTAAACGGCGAATTTTACAGCCAAACCTATTTAACATTCTTGTCTGTAGCTTTTCCTAAGTTATCATTTGATACCAACTATGAATTTAACCAGAAATTAAATTCAACCAGAAATTAAATTCAACCAAACTTTTTAATCATGGATTAAATTCAAAGTTGGTGTCGAATGATAGTTTATGAAAAACTAAGAAAATAATGTATGATCGGTTTTGCTGTAAAATCGACCGTTTAGATTTTACAGTTTGTCAAAGTTGTGAAAAAGTCAACAATTTGTGCTATTTTAACTGTAAACTTTAACTCGTTCACACCAAAATTCATAAAAATCGTACAAGCCGATATTGAGATAATTGAGACGTTCCACACTTAAAACTCACTCTGTATGTTTCTATTTTGGTATATTCTAGAGCTGAATGAAGTATGTGATGTCTTGACAAATAATCTGATGGGTTGGACTTGCCATCTTGATGAACCACTTGGAACTGAAAGGGGCTGAATTCTTAATAGTAGTCTCTCTATTCGAGTACTGGGAAAAGATCTGTTGTTTTCTAAGATTCTGATAAGAGGAAGATGATCAGTAGGTATGTAAAGTAAATGTTGTTCCATAAAGGTAGTTAGGGAAATGTTGTATGGACCTCGTACATATTACTGTTTTTTTTTCTATTTGACTGTATCGTTTTTCTACACTAGAAAAAGTTCTGCTAGCATATGCGATAATATTTTGACCTTGGGTGAGAATCGAGCCGACACCTTTAGGTCCAGCATCTACTATTAAATTTGTTGGTTTTTTGACATCATAATAGGATAATGTTGTTGCCTTCATCAATTGTTCTTTCAAAAATTTGAATGTTTGATCATGTTCTGGTGTCCATTGCCAAATGGTATCTTTTAGTGTTAGATCTCTGAGGATTTTGGTATTTTTAGCTAGTTCTGGAAAAAAACTTCGCAATATAGTTTATCATACCCAGAAGGCTTCGTACTTCTGTTGGGCTCTCTGGTGGTTTTAAATCTACAATGCTTTTTATTTTATTCGGATCTGGTTGGACTCCATCTCGAGAAAATATGTATTCAAAGAATTTTATCTTGCTTACACTAAATACACCACTTTGATTTGTTAATAATTGTAAGGTTGCATTCTTTCAATTTCTGTAACACAGCTTCTAGAGACTGGCTGTGATCTTCTACAGTGTTGCCGAATACTAAAATATCGTCACTATAATTCAAAACTCCAGGAATGTTTATTGAAATCTGTCTAATTACATTTATGAATATTTCCGCACCAGCATTTATGCCAAAACCTAAACGTTTACATCTGTAGAGACCTCCATGCGTTGAAAATGTTTATTTATTTATTTATTTTATTTATTGGTTCTTCTTACAAACACCATACAAAACAGCATTTACATGTAAGAGCAATATACATACATAAATAAGGACAATACACAAAAGAGGGCTAGCTAGCTAGCTTAACAGGCAATATCATCTATGAAAGATATTAGATTGCAATTGGAAAAATCTAAATCACAGTTATTTTGCATTAAAGTATTACATGTCTTAAGCATAGATGTTAGGGGTGAATCTTTAGTGTCTATATGAAATATACCTACATTTCTTTGCCTTAAATTAGTCTTTGGTACTTTAAAATATATATCATTTATCAACAGGCAATTCTTATACTTAATATTATTTAGAATGTAATATATAAAGATCACAGATTGCTTCTGTCTTCTAAATACTAGAGAGTGGAACTGAAAACTATTTAACATAGATCTGTATATCACCATATACGGATATATATTATTTTTCCTTACATACAGGAATCTGAGAAATCTTTTTTGGACTTTCTCAATTAAATCTATATTTTGATTTGCTTGAGGAGACCAGATGATAGATGCATACTCCAAATGCGAGCGAACCAATGCATTGTACAACAAAATAATGGTATCAATATGTACAATATGTTTGCTGTTCCTAATGATAAACCCTAGAGCCCTGTATGCCTTGTTCACTATATACTCATAATGAGTTTTAAATCTAAGAGATGGCTGAAAATATACACCGAGATCCTTAATGTTATCTACACGTTTTAGCATCTTACTATCTATCATAAAATCATGTTTCACTAGATTTAATTTACGGGAATAAGACATTACAAAACATTTATCCACATTTAAGAACATGTTATTTTTTGAGAACCAATCAACAATACTATTCAAATCAACCTGTAACAGGGCACAGTCATTTTCACAAGATACAGTTTTAAAAATTTTAAAATCATCAGCGAAGAGCAAATTATCAGAATGTTTAACAACACCAGGTAAACTATTTATAAATATGGTGAACAATATAGGACCTAGATTGCTGCCTTGGGGAACACCAGATGTTGCTGTGAAATGTTCTGAGATGCAATTACCAACTTTAACAGATTGCGTTCTATTAGTTAAGTATGACTGAATGAAAATGTAGGCACTTTTTGAAAAACCAAATTCAGCAAGCTTCCCTAGCAACATCCGATGGTCCACCTTGTCGAACGCCTTAGCACAATCCGTATACACTACATCTAACTGTTTCTTATCATTAATGGCAGATGATACATTATTTGTGAAAACTAACAGATTTGTGACAGTAGATTTGTCACTGACAAAGCCATGCTGCTCCTCGCATATCTTGGTCTCTGTATGATTCTTAATACTTTCATAAAGGATTATTTCAAAAATTTTAGCCAAGGAGTTTAACACACTAATAGGTCTGTAATTTTCAATTTCACTAACTTTTCCAGCTTTATGAATTGGTGTTACAAGAGCAGTTTTCCGTTTGTCTGGAAAAGTGTTATTTTTAATGCATGCTCTGAAGATGTGCGATAGAGGCTCTGCCAAAAATTCTGAACAACCCTTGTATATGTAGGATGGTATATTGTCACTCCCATTAGACTTCTTGGGCTTTAGTTTCTTGATGGCAGAGTCAACCATTTCGGCACTAATTTCAGGAAACTGAAATTCACCCCAAGCAGGGCACCAGTCTTCTTCAATGGTTGGATTTTGAGATGAAGGCTCATATACAGATGAAAAGTAGCATTCAAATGCATTGGCAATGTCTGCAGGCGTCCGATAAACCTCATCGTTCCAGGACATCTCACTAGGTATACCCCTGTTTTTGTTTTTCGAGCGTATAAAACCTCAGAAGCTGTTAGGATCATTTTTAACATTTTGCTCCAGTGACAATTGGTGTAGATGATACTCATGGGCAGTCTGCTTCCTGACTGCATCTCTAAGATTCCTGTATTCAATGCACTGATGCTTACTAGCTTTGTTCTTCATAACTAGCCTGTGCAGTCTATTTTTGTACCTGATGTTACGTATTAGTTCGATGGAGAACCACTTTGGATATTTACATTTGCCCTCCTTAGAAGCTACAACTGCCTTTTTGGGGATCGACTGATCAATACAGGAAATTAAGATATCATAAAAGGCATCAACACATGAATCAGGATCAGAGAGTCCCTCAACCATGGACCAATCACTGCATTGAAGCAATCTATATAACAGAAGGAAGTTACCCTTGGCATAATCATACGTGTAAGCCTTGGATATACCAGATGACACATAACATGGACGGAACTCATAGAACAGACTTAGTGAAAGACACGGATGGTACAGGTCTTCTTGAACAAACGCGTCAGCTCGAGAAACATGGACAACATTCATATTGGACAGTACAAGATCCAGTTTTCTACCCATATGGTTGGTTACATCATTGCATTGTTGTAGGTTATTAAGATTAAGAAAATTTTTCATTAAAACAGTCTTATCACAATAGGCCTATCTCGTATGATTAGAGAAAGAGAGCTTAATTGTAATAAATACAAATCAGAAAGCAATAAAAGATGACATGCGCGCGCAACTCGTAGGCTGCAATGTAGCCAGATTCCAGATTGTAATATTGCAGAACAAATATGTAGACAATACAAATCGAACATTATAACATTAAAGAAGTCAAAGAAGTGATATGGTGTCAAGAGTTTTACAACGCCTTAAATCAGACTAAAGAAGAGCTTTAAAGTGGATGAACATCGTTTGCACTTTTATTTTGATAAATGTTTCATCCGGCAACATCGCTCAATGAAATTGCCAAGGAATATGTCAAGTATAATCTAACACAACCTTAAACGAAACTGCGGTGAGTTCAAGTAACATGTAAAGTATTAATTTGCTCTTTGTCAAATTACACGTTACAAAGAAAGAAGGAACGATTCATTCCGAACTGGTCCCTGAATAAGAAGATGACGCAAGCCTGTCACAAACTTGCTTCTCATTGGACGCTCACCTGCAGCCTACAAGCGACGCGCGCAGTCCAGGTAATAGGAGATCGGTCTATTATTATCAGTCTCAAAATTAGGTATGTTCATATCACCTAAAATCAAAATATCACAGCCATTATCTAAAATGTCTTGAAGACCATTAAAATATTTTTCATAAATATCATAGGGCATACTTGGTGGAATGTATGCACAAGATATGAAAAAAGAAGACTTTTTGTATTTAATTTCTAATAACACAGATTCAATATCACAGGTTACCTTAATATTATCAAACTGGAACTTTTTGTGTAATGCCACAAGAACTCCACCCCCTCGGCAATTGTTACCATCCCGATCTCTTCTTATTATATTATACCTCTGATCAAAGAGCTCAGCATCAAAGATACTTGCTGTCAACCAGGTTTCAGTTATTGCTATTATGTCATACTCGTAGGACATTACACTTTGGTAGAAGCACTCAGTTTTAGTTCGGAGTCCCCTTACATTCTGTTAGTAGATGCTAATTTCCCTCTTTTTTGATTCTATATTAGATTTGGAGGATCCTCCTGGGGCGGCATCCTCTTTTTCATAAAAAACCGGGTGACCACTGCACCACTAGGCCAAACATCCCTTTTCCATGCATCCTTTAGCTGGTTACTTCTGATAGTCACTCTCATAGATGCATATATTTCTGGATGCATTGACACATGAGGCTCACAAATAACTCCTGGAAAATTAGCAGTTAACATTTGTTTCAGGTCCTCAGGCTTCGTATTAGGTTGCAGCCTAGAGACATGAAGCGATACAAACTTCGGTACTGTTTGCACACCATTGGCGCTTTCATTTCTTCCAACTATGAAACGACGTTTTCGTCTAACATTTTGCCATCCTCCTGCATCATCCCTGTTCCCATCCAAATCCTTTGTTAAGTTTTGAATCTCACGAACCTTTGCAGCACTCTGAGCCTCATGTATTGCAACCTTCACCTGCTCAGGTCGAATTTGATTTGTTTTTGTTGTTGTGTTTTGATTCTGAGACGAAGTAGGGTTATGTTTAGGCTTAGACATGTCACCGGAACGGGTACTGGAACGGTTACTTCGGTTACTGCCGGCAACACTGGAGAACAAGGGAGCAGGACCAGTTGCCTTTGCTTGACCTTGATCATTGGCGTCGGCAGAGAGCAATGGAATATTATCCTTACACTTATTATGTTTGATTTTTTCCTCCAGAAGGGTAACTTTTTCTTTTAAAAGGGAACAATTCTCGTGAAGAACAGTGTTTTTCGTTTCCATTTCCTTTACAAGCTTTTGATAAAGGACGTTTTCGGCAGCTACAACGTTGTTCTTGTCAGCCACTGGAACGTTGTTTACATTCACGTTTTCACTTTTTTTATTCAACAATACCATGCACTTTGGCTTACATTGATCGCAAAACCAAAAAATATTACTTATTTCATTGATTATTTTAAACCATGAATCCTTAATTGATACACACATTAAATGGAACTTCAATTTGCACAACTTGCACTCAATAAACTTGGAATTTACAAGGAAATTGTCGGAGCAATATAAACACTCGTTTGCATCGCCCGCCATCATGATATGATGTTGTTATGTATCTTCTATCTTTGTTCATAGTCAGCAGATGGTATCCATCCTTTAGGTGTATTTCAGGTACTATTTCTCTGCTAGCTAACCTCATGTCAACACAAATTCGAATTAAGTCTTTGTTGTGTTACTGACGTTACTGTACGATGACAATTGGAGATACCCATTGCGTAGGGCCTTCTGCTTTTTCAATGATATCTGCTTGTTCCAAACAATTAATTTCTGCTTCTACTTTTTCCCTGAGGTGATATGGTATTCGCCTGTGCTTTGCGCTATTGGTTTACCATTTTTGTCTATGTGTACATGGACTTTAAAGTTTGAAAAATTTCATACACCTGTGCATATCTCTGGGTATTTGTTCTTGACATAATCTTGGTTCATTTTTGTAGAAACACTGTTTGTCATGTGTATTAATTTGGGTTGCAAGGAGGCGTTGAAACTTAGAAGTGATTGACATTCTCCATTCACTACATGAATTAACGCTTCTGTTGGTTGTGTTATTTTTGTGGGACAATTGTGTTGTACATTTTCCAAGAACTTATAGGTTTTGTTTTGCACAGTGCGAAAATATGTTGATTGCATCTTTAGTTAGGTCATGTTTGATTGGCAGTGTTAAAAATGTTGCTTTTCCTATCAAGTTGGCTGATGCTCTAGTATCTATTACAAATTCTAAAGATCGATTAGCAATATTGATATTGACTACAGGTACCTCTCTAATGTTATCAACTGTTATGCAGAATGAGTGACTTGAACTACTCTCATCAGTGTCTTTTTCAGGGGTATTGAAATTAACATACTCTCTGTTGTTGTTTCTCTTGTTGTTTTGATTATTGTTATAATTCCTGTGATTGTTATTGTCTTGTTGACTATTGCGTGATGTGGATGGCTCTACTTGTGAATGATTGTATGTGTTCACATATGATGTTCTGTTGTTACCTTGACTTTGTTGTTGAAATTTCTGTTTGGCTATGCATACCTTCTGAAAGTGCCCCGTTTTTCTACAAAAATGACAGCTGGACAGTCTTATTTACCTCTCATGTGCCACTGGTTACACAATTTCTGTTCTGTTGTTTGTGTTAGGTCGAGAGTTCGTGTTGTTATGAGTACGGCCAAATCTTGCTTGTTCAAATTGAATTTTTTTTTTAATTCTAAAAACAACTTCAGATTTTTCCGACATTTCCATTTGTTGGGCTTGGGTTTCAGTGAACTCGTAGGCTTTTGCTTGAGCTAAGAGTTGCTTTAGTGTAGGTTTTTCAGCAAGGCCATACTTTCTTAACCTAGTAGATGTAGTACCCTGGATTATTTGGGACTTAATTTCTCTACAAGCTAAAGTTAAAAATCTCAAACTCTATGTTTATTTTTGGTACAAAATGATTGTTTAGCTTCATTTTCGCAATATCATACTTAGGAGAGACAGGCTGAGTGAGAGGAGGGTCGGATAATCAACAGCTGATCAACAGTAAATATCAAATGTTTCCTCACCTACACAGTGGAGTAACATGGATTCTTTTCGACCATCATCTGTAATACCAGCTGCAACCAGGATATTATCAAATCGTTTAAGCCATTTTTGCCATCTGATGGGGCCTATATTTTCCATGTTGAAATGCTCAATATTAGCAAAGATGTTCTCTGCTGCCATCGTTCCATATTTTTATGAAATGTTCGCCGATCGCAATAACGTTGTTGTGGATATTCGTTGACTCGTCGCCAATGTTATGTTTGAGCTACTTTAAACTTACTGAGGTGTTGATTAAAATATAGCAATGTTTTCTAAGGAAGCTTGTTTTATTATATTTCAACGATAAAGATACATGTGTCTAGAGCAAAATCACAAAACATGACCATTAAATTCTAATTTACAGTTTTTTTCTGTCAGCTGATAGGTATCCTCCAATTCTATGGAATCGAAGATCAACCAAAAATCATAGACTATTACAAAACCTAGATACTACAATTACTTTGATTTTTCACATTTTTTTTGGCCCCGGACTTTTTCAGTTTTCAAAATAATTCATAGTGTTTTCCATCACATCAAGTGTTAGTTCTATGTATTCTTCTTCTTCCTGCTCCTCCGTTAACTAGTGTCTAGTTTACTCGTTTTCCTAGTCTTCTGAACTATGTTTTTCACTCTTCTGCATTGATTTTTTTGTGTGTGTAGTATCCTTGATTATTAATTTTCTTCTTAACTTCTTCTGGTTCCTCTACAATATATAGGTATCTCTTTTGTGACATTTTTTTATCACTTTTATTTTGACATTTACTCTCTTCGATACAAATAACTGAAAACTTTCTGTTTTCTGTTGATGATAGAAAAAGTTATGACTTACGATGATTCAAAGTTTTCAAAAATTCTTTCCAAAATGGTCAAATTTCAATTACTTTTTTTTTGGTGATTTCGACTTTAAACGATCATTTGGGACCCCAGAATCTCCATAAAGTCTTTTATTGTGAGATTTGGAGCCGAAATATATGGAAAAAGGACCTCAGGGAAATTGAAACCTTAAATACATAAACGAAACATTGTCACGAATTCCGCTGGTCTACTAAAAATGTCTTTACCAATAACAACAATTTTAACTTATCGACTTTACAAAATTCACTAATCTTCAGTGGCATGTTTACTATGGAAGCTAGGAAAGCACAGGTTCCCCTCGAGGATTTATTAAGAACACTAAACTAAACTTTATGTAGACATTTTCAAAAAGAAATATATGAAACTTGTGAATGGCTGACTGGTTCTGAAATTATAAGTCTCTCCTGCCCTGCACTTTCCCCACAGCGTCCCCGTCTGTTAAAGTCTGGACACGCCACTGCTAATCATCTGATAAATTCATGACGATATCAAAACTTTGAAATAATCATCTCATCTTGTTGTCTGGCTATATGAACCAACACAATTTAATTCCACTCAAGTCGTGTATTACAAGAGACCGCATCATGTTTATTTTATTTAATCAAGTCGTCATTGGTCGAATCCTAATTCGTCCAATGTCAATTAACTGTCTCCATTCAATGATTCATGTTGTTTTAATGCAATAAGAGCTTCTATCCTCTTGCACCTGTTTTTGTAATTCCTTATTAATCATAGTTTATTGAACTAAAAACCCATTAAATCTTGTAAGTAACTGGTTTCACTTGCACCTTTGATAATAATAAATACCAAAGACAAGTTTAATGAAGCTGTTAAGTTATAAACACTCCGACTACAACCTACTTGCCAAAACGAGGCAATAATCGAACCAAAAATCCAAATATGATCTAAATATTTAAAATTTCAAACCTTACATTCCAGCCAAATACTATATACCTATGAGTAAAGCTGATGACAGTCCAGGAATAATAAACTAACAAAATGCCTGGCCAGACCATTAGTGCATTTGAGCAGATAAACCGTTTTATTTTTCAGCCACCAGTCAGTGTAACTTTGGATGTGCTACTGTATGCATCGGTTTTAATTAATAAAGTTTGTAAAGCGCGGGATTTCTGTTTGTTGATTTCATTCATTAGTACTTTATTGTGAAGTGAGAAATAATGAAATTTAGGTTTTTTAAAAGGGTATGTCTCAATTTGTTTGATTTGATTTTTTCTAGTACCTACTTTAGCTATCTAAGTAAATTGTTTCTAAAAAAAATAATCTGTAATTTTAATTTATGGATTGTTATGGTTTGAGCTGGTGTAAGGATTTTGTTTTAAATTCTGTTTATAAGGCTCGTATTACATTTGTGTATTATTCAATGAATTTCTTCATGTAGTTCCTGGTGACAACCGAAAAACTTCAAACGCAACATAAATCAGCATTATATTTTGGCACCCTGAACTACATGAAGAAATACACGACAAAATACACAGATGTAATACGGGCTTTTGAGGCTTCAGACATAGATTTCTATATTAAAAAAAAAAAAAAACTTCTGCAACTTAGCACATGAGTTTCAAATGTGTTTGGTTTTCCCTCTGAAACTGGAAAACTCTTTAAATTCGCATTTCTTTTCCAATTCACGAGCCTAATTTATTAGGATTTATTACTGCCTTGAAATTACCAGTCTTCCAGTGACAAATCAATGGATTTTCAATTTTACCCTATCGTGTTCTGTTTGTTTGCATTCCCTTATTTCTGAGGGGCTTGGCCTGGGTCAGTAGTTTAGTGTGCTAAAAAAAGCTGGTCGGTTGTTTTGATTAAAAAAGGTGTGGTGGCTTGTGATTACTTCACTTCCTTGAACCTTTAACTAATTTAAAATCCCAAGAAAAAAAGGTGATTTAAATTTAACGCGTATAGTCATAATTGAATGACTCATTCACCGTTTGTTATTATTTCACACTTAGATTAGTAATGAATGTGAGCTGATTTTTGCCTCTCGGTTTTCAATCAATTGATGCCCCAAGGCTATTAGATCATTGCTATTATTTTTCAGTTCGATTTTTGGTGCAAATGCTTTGATCCTTCTTACATGATATCAATAATATTGACATACGATTGTGGCTTTCATATTATTATTTAGCACGTGAACTACTTACCTGATTTAAAAATATTCTTAATGTTTTTTTAAGTGTTTTTGTTTAAAATGATCTACTGATTAATATATTTTATATTTTTATGTACCACTTCAGTTAATGGCCTTTTGCAATTAATATAACAATGTAACGTAAAACCTTTTATGGACTTTACAAATTTTAATGCTGGT